GGTGTCTCGGTGCAGTCATACATCGAAAGATTTTAATTTGAAAAAAAAATCCATTCATATGCAAGATCTGCATGTAGTAGACTACATACGTGCCTTCAGACTGGCAGAATGAATCATGAAAACTGTGCAGAAGAAGTTTTCTCCAGGAAACTGTGAGAAAACTGAAGCTTCACTGTGTTGGACTGAAGAACCCTCAGATCCACGCGTCACGTCTTTATTAAAGTGCTGCATTTAACACAACTTCACAAGGTTCACATTCCTGCAGCTCATAGACAACATTGGTTGAAGCTGCATTTGGTGGTTTATTTATTTTTTCCATCCTGCAGCCAGAACTTGGGTTAAAGTTCAGAGTCGGTTGAAGCTGCAGGTCGTAGAGATCCACAGCACGGAGCATGTGTGTGCTAATTCATGCACATAACGACATATTAGCATGTGCTTGTGCGTGCAAATATTTCAGTTGCATATGCACGTACCTGTGTGTGTGTGTGTGTGTGTGTGTGTTTGATGGAGGTGTTTATGCTTCACCTCCTCCTCCTCCTCCTCCTCCTCCTCCTCCTCTCTGCACTGTAATAAACAATAACCGGGCATTAATCTCCCGGCCTGCTGCCTTAATAAATAATATCCACACATTCATCAACTTAAACTATTCACAATCAATGCAGCTCTTCATAGAAAACCCACCTAATAAATAGTGGTGCGGCCCACTGAGGCGTGAACTTATAGACCAGCCGGCTGATAAATGAACCGACCCCCACGGCGAGACGCCTTTTATGTGGAAAACTGCAAGTGAGAATTTTTCGATTTTATATTACACTATTTTACTCTTATTACTTTCCTCTGTGTGTGTGTGTGTGTGTGTGTGTGTGCTCTCCACATGCTCTGGGGGTCCTGTAGGTGTTTGTGATTTATTAGAGCGGTGAAGATGTCGGTCTATTTGTTTTGTTCTAGTTCTGGGCTGTTTACCTATTTGTAAGGCACTGATGTCAGAGTTTTGTCTTATTGGTTTCAGAATAAGAATCGCTTTATTTTCAGGCGGCACGGGGGGATTTGTCCCGGTCGCACCGCCGCCGCCGCACAGACATTTCAACAACGAGCAGCGCGGCGATGCAGAGGATGGTGGAGGATGGTGGAGGAGGTGGAGGATGGTGGAGGAGGTCCGGCGGAGGCAGAAGGAGCCTCGGAGGGATTCACAGATCAGCAGAGCGCGTTGATTAGAGCCGCGAGCAGAAGTGTCACGTTAAAGAGCCCCAATTCTTATTTTCCTCTTTGTCATTAAGCTGCTTTTGGTGCTCCTGCGCCGCCCGGACTCTCGTTGGAAGTTTTCTTCGCGACTCATCGACAGATTTCCTGCCTGTCAGGCTTCTGGAGATGCATCCGTTTGCTCAGAGATCTGGAGTTCGCTGCTTTGAGTGGTGCAGCAGCCACGTGCAGCACAACAAGACTAATGTGGTTTTGAGCATTAAAATATGCAAACATATTCTAGTTGACCCCCCAGAAAAATACACATAGATTATATATATATGGAGTTGTTGATGTGCAGAAGATGAAAATTCATCAGGAATTATGTATTTAGTCTGATGTGTTTTTAAAAATAATCTAAAAAAAAGCCTTTTTTTGGTAAAGAAAACAAAAAACTCCCCAGAATTCTTGTATTGAGATGGAAAAATGGAAGAAGCCATAATGTTGTGATAATATATTACGAATATACTGAGTTAATAACACTATTATTATCTTTTAAATTATTCGGTTATGGTACGGGGAGACAATCCAATATTTTTTCAGTTTCAGGTCATATAAACAGCTATGACCTTTTATCACTTTTGTTTTTCTTTTTACCACATTGTGGTATGAATTCTGTAAAAGTGTGTTTTTTGTGACCAGTGTTTGTAGTTTTATAACACTGCCATGTGCTCATGTGCTCATGATGATTACAGTAATTTAAAAAGAGGATTTTTTGGCGCCACACCGAAAAAAAAACAACTATTTTGTGCCCAGTTTTGTTAATTAGGATTTAATTTACTGAGACTTGTTGTTCAGAAACGGCAGCAAAACCCACTGTGTGATCAGACCCACAGCGAGCAGGAGAAACCCTGAATTAGGCAGAATATTGACGCACCGACGGAGGTGACAATCGATGTCCTGACAGCTGGTAAACACGACGCCGGGTGTTACGGTGATGACATCAGGAGGCGCGGGCGGTGCTAACGCTGATCCACGGCGCTGCTCTCCGTCATTAGAGGAAGCTTTAATAACAGGAGACCTCGGCCTCTTCGTCAGCTCCTTAATGTGACTGACGGAAGACAGACGACGGTTAATCACCTCCGAGTGTCTCCGCCGTCCGCCCGTCAGCGGCCTCGGGCTGCGTCCACGGTGGATTTCTGAAGGCCTGAGCTGCACGCTGTCTGTGTTCACCGCGTTAACCTGCTTTAATTAATTTGAAATTAGCTGCCGAACAGTTCAGGATCTCCTCAGAGGGTCACGTTTCTAGATCAGGATGTGAAAGAAAAACCAAACTGGCTGCACCTTCGTTACCCATCATGTGAGCGCCGTCAGATAAAGAAGGTTAAATAAAAACATATAAATCAGATGAGTGGTCGACCGATGAAGTCCCGGCCCTGTTACAGGCCTCATGGAGCAACCAGCTGCTCGTGTAATCTGAATTTATTTAAAGGCTGCTGCAGATAAATGAGCGTTAATGGAGGAACCGACCTGCTGCTGTTTGTCACATGATAACCTCACAACTCACAAACGAGTCGTGTTTGTTATGAAGAGCTCTGATTTCATTAGTTTAACACCAACCGACCAATTAAATAATCTACTCCACCATGTTTTACTCGGGTATGAATCTGTTGATCAAACCTTCAGAAGAAACATAATTAAAGTTTCTGGTTCGTTCCTGTTCAAACAATATTTCTAATATCTGCAGACGAGCTGGAAAATAATAGAAAACTGGGGGGAGATGCGAGATAGGAGCGAGGCCTGCGATCACGCTGGAAGTTCAAACTAAATAACTCGATAATGTTGGCGGGAGGCCGTGTTGGGCTCAACAAATGGAAAGAGGGCGAGATTAGATCAGCTGCTGCGTGGAAGCAGGACACTCTATTAGCAGACGCTGCTGCTCGGTTGTTTGTTTCAGTCGCTGTGAACTCCCATTTGGACACACACACACAATCTCTTTATATCTATCTCCTCTTTTTCTTGTTGTGCTGCCGTCTCTATCTCACACACACACACACACACACACACACACACACTGGGTGATAGATGGTCCAGTCATGATCTGGGCCTGCATTGTTGATGAGGGTCACGCTGCCATGGTTACCGGAGCGCCGTCCGACTCCTGCTGGCCTCGTACGTCGAGGCTATCTGTGCTTACAGACCCTACGTAGCGGCTTCCTGCCTCGTCCCTCCGTCTGCTGGAGGATGAGTGGGTTTGTGTGTTCATACAGTCGGGTTTTGTGTCGACTCAGTTTGTCGGTTTGTCTCAGAGTTTTAGAACATTTAGGACAGTTTTCTTTTTTTCTCCTTCAGGTTGAGTGTAAGTAAAGTAAGCGATCTAATTCAGTTACAACACGGAGAAACAAGAACCAACAGATCTGATAGAATAATGTGACTTGTATTCATACACAGCATCACAAAGACCCCAATAATCAGTCTGCAGGAACATTAACGAGATGAGCAGTGATGTAACAGAAACGTCTGGTTTGTGTGAGGACGTGTTGTTTCTGTGGATAATAAACACGGCAGCAGTGAAAGTTCACTTATTTAAGCACATTTTTGTATTTTAATCCTGATAGAGACTAAATCAGCAGCAGTGTTGTCAAACTGCATAAAACGCTGCACATTTAATTTGTCTGGTTTTGGAGTGAACTGATTTATTTTTCCAACATAAACTCACATCGTCAGAATTCAACATGTCAACTGTTAATTTACACAATTAATATTTTGTGTTAGATGTTAAATTTGCTCTATGAAGTGGGATCAACGTGTCGGTGGTTACGTGGAGCCTAAATTCAGCGCCGTCGGTGTCATGAGCTGCGATTTTGCATCACTGTACAGAGATTTTCTGTACAAGTTCTTGTATATGTTGGTTATCTTATCTTATTTTTTATTGTTATTATTTATTTTACTTTATTTTTATTTTTTATTTTCCTATATCTATTATTTTTTGCTCATTCCACCAGCAGCAGAAACCAAACTCCTCCTATGTTGTGTACCACTAAAGCTGATTCTGATGAACGTCCTAACCTGCTAGATCGCCACGGTAACGGATGCTGTGCTGCTAACCTGCCCCTCGGGACGTTCTGAGTTTTGGATTTCAAATTAAAGAAGTTTGTTTTCTGACAATGCAGATTCCCAGCTGATGTCACACACCCAGACCTGTTATCTAGATTTAAGTCACACTTGCTTCGTCTCCATAATCTCAGATTCCAGGAAATGTGGAATTTCTGAAAGAAAAACGTATAAAAAGTCTGAAATCTGTGTAATTAATGCACAGTTTAAATAATGACGTGTCGTCCTCAGATGTGTTCAGACCCTCCCGTTAAAGAAAAGGTAAAACTCACACATTAAAATAACTGGAAACTGAAAAAAGTAATAAGAAATAAAAATTTGCTAAATTATAATTTAGTGAAATAAGACGTTGTTTTTGAACTGTGGCTGAAAAAAATAATTTTAAAAAAACAAAAAAAGAATCAGAGCACTTTGCTGATGAGCAGTGAGACCAGAACACCTGTCAACAGGTGAGAAGTCTGACTGAGAGGTACAGGAAACACCTGATGGCAGTGATTGGCTTGTTTAAAATAATTCTGTTGAAGCACAGTTCAGAAGCAGCGTCATGATGTTCATTACATTTTATTTCAGCTGTTGTTTTCCTCCTTTAATGGGAGGGTATGAATACATCTGAGGCTGACTGTGTGCATCAGGTTCAGTGTTGGAGCCTCCAGGTGCTGCCGAGGCGACCGATAACCCACCCAGCTCCTCCCTCTGTCCCCCCTCAGACCCTACCAGTGTGGCCACTGCTCCCAGTCCTTCTCCCAGCCGTCGGAGCTGAGGAACCACGTGGTGACGCACTCCAGCGACCGACCCTTCAAGTGCGGATACTGCGGCCGGGCGTTCGCCGGCGCCACCACGCTCAACAACCACATCCGCACGCACACCGGAGAGAAGCCGTTCAAGTAAGTACCAGTGAGTACCCCCACCCATCAGCCCACCAGCCTCCTCCTGCTCCTCCTCCTCCTCCGTCCCGCCTGCATCAACACCACACAGACAACAGCTTCTCCTCCTGACGCCCAAAAACCACATTTACATCCCTCATGTTAGCTTAATTACAGCTTCGTTGGTGAAGACGCATGAACGGCGTCCAGAACAACACGCGATGCATCGATCAGCTCAGAGGATCCTTTTTAATGTTAGTGGCACCTGCTGACCTGATCGGCTCTAAATAACTAGGAAGTACTGATAATTATCAATAAGCATCAGCGCTCGTTGTCGGTTCAGTGCAGCCAGACGACGACAGTCAGAGGTTCTCACAGAGATCGCACTAAAGTTAAACTGATGGCACATATGTAGACATGATGATTAAATTAACAGATAAAAGGTTGTTTTTTTAATATAAATATTATAATTCCTCCCCTGTGAGCCTGATACGGATCAATGTATTGATTAAACGCCATTCACCTGTTTGTTTAACGGCTAAACTACGTCTGCAGGTCGATCAATACGTTCCCATCCGAGCAAAATCTTATCGGTCAGACGATCGATTCACTTCAATTCGATTCAGCTTCGTTTATATATGAAGCACCGGCTTGTCGCGTCGCACAGCGAGGTGAAAATCAGAAACAGAGTTATGCGGAGAAAGCGAACAGATCCGATCGTCCTGTTTGATTTCTCTGCAGCGAGCGACGAAAAGCTCTGCAGCAGGAGCCCGACGAGTCCGATCATGGATGATAAAGAGTTAAAGAGACACTCTGTTTACAGCAAATACAGTAAATACACAGAAATTAAGTAACTTGTGCAGCTTGTTATTTATAAAAGTCACTAAAGGAGGGAACACTGATGTGATATTGGCTGTTAAATATGATCAGGGAAAATAGCTGCAATAATGAACTTTATTTCTGTCTTTACGAAACATTAAAACACATCACGTTAGAGGATAAAGACGATGTGACCTGAAGAAGAGCGTCAGAGAAAGATTGAAGGTTAATAAAAACGTTTTTTAAACACGTTATGAACCGTGGAGCTGACAGTAAAGAGGTTCCTCTAACGTCGTCTCCAGCCTGGACCTGTGGATGTTAAACAGCAGCTGTGACAGCAGACAACAGAATATTATAATTAATCATAATGATAATTAACTTTATTTGTGTAGAGCTTTTAATAAACTCAGAGACGCTTCACAGGATAAAAGAACAAGAAAAGCAACTAATACAGAAATACAAGCAAACCGATAAAACAACACGAGACATCAAGATAAAGGTTTAAATGTTGGACTTTAACGCCCCTGTTTGTTCTCACTGATCCGTTTAACGTTTACTGAACCAGCTCATAACTAACCGACGTCCTGACGAGGAAATCGTCAAGCAGACGGACAGAAAGTGGAGCACAAACAGCAGCTAACTGGTCTAACTGGTTCCTCAGTGGGTGTTTTGTCAGATCACCAGTTTACATATTTATAATAATTTCAGTAGAAAATAATCAGCCTGGAACGGTTTAACGTGCTGCTAATACCAGCTTTTTATGTCACACTGATGGAGCCACTTTTCTGACATCGTTTCCTGCGACCAGCCGATTGGTCGGTTTCAGATTTTCTAAACTTTACAGGAAACCGTAAAACAGTTTTAAAGTTTAAAACGCTGAATCCATGATAATGATACCGTCACTTCCCCCCTTAAGTTTAATCATTTTATTACACAAAGAAAACAGCTGATGAGCTCCTTAGAAGGAAAATAAAACTATTGGAGGCAAACGGCCGCCTTGTAGGAAACTTAGCTTCATGCAACCCGACTGGCATTAGTGCTGATGGCCTCAGAAGTCCTGGTCCCACAAAAACCCTTCGCAAACCCTTTTTTTTTTTTTTGTTTGGACCTTATTTCTCTCTCCGGAGCTTTTCCATTATTCATGATCCCCTCGGTGGAATATTTTGTGGCGTCTCCTGTCAGGCCGCCGCGACCTCCGACCTCCGAGCGCCTCGCTATCGGCTGCAGGCGGCGCCGACCCGTCGAGGAGGATCTGGGCCGCTTCTCGCTCCTCGTAAATCAGGGAGCATCAGCGAAAAGCGGCCCGGTGTAAATACAGCTCGATCACGGCCGGTAATGAATCCGCACGCTGCTCATTTCCATTTTCTTTTTTACTGGTATAATTAGAGGGCAGGCCGCGCTGCAATTAAGGCTGTGTGGATGCTGCCGTTGTCATGCTGTCACCCCATCAGCGCCGGAGGACAATGAGGATTCCCCCGGTGGACGGAGAGGTCAGCGTTCAGGGGCAGGGCGGCCGAGGGGAGAGGCCGAGTGAGGCCGGAGAAAGTGAAGAGAGCAGAATAAGGGGATTTGAGACGTGCAGCAAATTAACGTCCTTGATAAGCAATCAGAGAAATCCGAAGTCGTCATCGAGCGACGGGCCGGCGGGGCGGGAACAAGAGATCACAGTGTAAAAAGTGAAACAACAAGCGGCGCCGGCGAGGAGGAATCCGCTTAAAGCAAATCAGCGTTCTTAATAAGCAATCAGAGGAAACCCCGAACCTTTTCATCAGCACTTCAGAGTCTCGGCGGAGGCAGAGCGGGACAAAGACAATCACGGACGGGCGTCAGAAATCTTTAGCGGATCGATGGCCTCGGGGAGTTATCTCCGTTCGGACGGCGCGGCGGATAGATTAAAGCTGCCACTGTCACTTTGTCAAGAGGAAAACGCTCAACTTTATTTTCCTGCCGAGCAGACGGAGGGTTCTGTGTGGTCGGCAGCTTTTCAGCGCCGGACTGTGGAGGCTGTCAAACCGAAGCTGCTGCTAGTTTCACAAAGAAGCTCCTTTAAAACAACCTGCTGAGGACTGAAGGAAGCAGAGACGCTCAGCAGTCAGGAGGGTTCAGCTCACTGAGACTGGTCCAGATTTATTTCACGTCTCTTTCATAACTTCATTTAACAGACTGACTGCTGAGTTAAGGTGTGACTTCACCTGAGAGATTTAAACCTGACAACATAAAATGCTGCTTCACCTGCCTGTAAGACATGATGGAGACTGAAGCCCTGCTGCGTTGTTTACTGTTTACAGTAATATATAAAACCGTACATTCAGCTTTACATGCAGGAAATAAAAGATAAAACAGAATGAATCAGGGAAGCAGCAGCAGTAAAAAGAAAGATGCAGGACTTTCAGAAAACTTATTTAGTTGTTGTTTCAATCAGACTGAAGCTGAGTGAGTTTGACTGAGTGGAAACAGATAAACTAAGTTTGATGGATGTTGTCTCAGGTAGACGATGGAGCTGTGGGTTCTCTGAAGGTTTGAGAAGATGTTTGTGAGGATGGAGCATCTGTTTGTGCAAATGAACTCTTCATATTTATATTAAAAAAATAAAAATACACAAAATAAAATAAATGCACATTATTAAAAAGAAGCACTATTTGTAAAAACGTGTTCAGAGGATTCCCTGAGAGGCGACGTGTTTTTGCTCATATTAGTCTGAACCAGAAGTTGATTAAATATTATAATAAACAACATGGAGATGAACCCGAGTCGTTTAAAGTTCTGACCCGACATCATATCCAGGCAAACCCGACAAGGATCCTCCATAAAGAAGCTTTAGTTTTACATCACGTGGATCGTTTTGTGTTTTTTGACCCGTTTGTTTGTTTTTGTCGTGCGGCGCTGGTTCAGTTCAGGAAAAGTTCTGGTCCGACGTCTGATAGGTTCTGGGTGGAGTTCTGCTCACCAGAGTTTTGCAGACGTTAGCTGAGCTTCTCGTCCAGAGCTGCTGCTTCAGTTTGCACCAGCCTGTGACTGAACGCTCTCCAGCAGAGAGAAGATAAGAGCTGGAGCTCCACCGTCCTCCAGGGAAGCTGATGAAAGCCTCCTCCACCGTTCTGTCAGGACAAACTGCTCAACGGTATTTTTCTCCTGCTGCTGGACGGCCGACTGCTGCAGCCTCTTTGTTCTGCAGCAGAGCCGTCCTCCTCCTCCTCCTCGTCCTCCTCCTCCTCGTCCTCCTCGTCCTCCTCCTCCTCCTCGTCCTC